TATCGTTGTTTCCAGATTAGTTGCGGATTTGCTGAATATGATCTGTTTAGAACTTTGATATATAAGTTTTGGTATAATTTTGACACAGCTTTTATATCAATTTCTCGAGACAGGAACATCTTATATAGCCCTCGATTAACTCCTGAAGTTCCAAGGTTTTATCCTTTACCCCATTTCCCACATTGCAAAATAGACAAAAGAGAAGGTAAAATTCATGCTACATCACTGGTACAACTTTGCGACCTCGTAGCTCCTCTATTTTTGATTTTTCGCTAAACTATAGGAATTGCAAATTTATTTGGTTACAAATTAAAAACATTAAAAACATTTTAGTTATTCTCAATATCTCTTCAGTAAAAGGAGTTATGATTGAAAACATTTCAATTTTGCACGCAATTTACCTCAGTATAAACTCCAAAAGAGAAAAGAGTATATAGAAGAGAGTACAATTTGAAGAGGAAGGAAGTAAGTAAAGTAAAATGAACGGAAGTCGAAGTCTGCTAAAATCGGTAAAGTTACAAGGAATGTCCGTACTCAAGGGGAACTAACATTCCATATACACAGACACACACTTACGCACACCCTCACATGTTTTCAGCTGAAAATATGATTTTTAGCAGATGTATTTTTATGTTTATGTAATATTGTGCTACCAATTAAATATACTAAAAGAACCTGATAAAATATGTTAATTTTAGTAACCCTTCATAATTTTTTCACCCTGAATGCTTCTCTTAAACACTTTCATTGTATTGTTTGTTTGTTATGGTTTGTTTAAAGGGAGTGACTGGTTATGTAAGGTAGTTGAACTGAATATGCAGTGTTGTGGAAAACTTATTTCGGATTTATTGGGGACATATCAAACATTTTAAAGATCTGTAAATCCTGAGTTTGAGCGCAAATTCGACGTTCAAAACTCCTACAATGGGAGTGGATACGTTTTCAGAATTAGTTTTTTTTTTAATTATTAAATAATATTGAAAGGGACTGTACAGACGTAATTCAGGTTACCCTAATTTTTAGATTGGCATGTCTAATTTACTACGGTAGTCTTAATTATACATGACCGATATATTCTTATTTTTCCCGATAAAAATAAAGCGCTGGAAAAGTCTTATATGCACCGAGAAAAGGCCTGAAGGGAATGTAAAAATAATTCTAAGTGTCCTTTAATACAAAGATTGTCCTGCCCTATTCTCATGGGTTCCCTTTGTTTCATCAAATATAAATTAGATATTATCTTTTAAAATTTTATTAACGGGTTAACTTCTATTGTGATTTTTCCCCAAAAGTGTCTTGAATCTCAATTTATCATAAATAAAAAATCATAAATAAAAACGACAATTTCAATGGAGGATCACTTGAAATGTTGCTTACATATCCGAATTTTGTGTTGGAAGAGAGAAAAACTTGTAAAAAAACATTGATTGGGAGAGAGAGGAAGGGGGGGGGTAGGGTAGGCGGTTC